AACAACAACAACAACAACAACAACAACAACAACAAAAACAGCAACAACAACAGGAACACCACCACAACAAACAACAGTAATCACTGATCTTTTACAAACTTCACAAGGAAATGCTGTTACTGCTTTAATGAATGATTCGATGATAATATCACGTCCATCAATTGCAGCAACATCATGCGGTGGTCATCATTTTACACCTGGTCTGTTCTGTTGTCCAATTTTCAATCTTCTTTTTAGTCTTTCCATTTTTTTTTCCCCCAAAAACTACTTTATTTTTTTTTTTTTCAAATTTGAAGTTTTTTGAAAATTTGAAATTTTACACTTACTTGACAGCTTGTTTAAGTAACAACAATGCCTTATCTCTTCATTTATCGGCAGAGGAGTAGAAAGAGGAAGCGGAAGAGGAGGAGGAGGAGGAGGAGGAAAGAGTCTATCTTTTAAAAATGACATCTAGCAAATATCCTTTCCTGCTAACTAAGCTTGCAATGCCTAAGACTCATTTGATGAATGATCACTCATTGAAGAAGCAAAATGCCTTGGCTTTTTATTTGCACACAATTCTCTCAATGGCAAGTAGTCAATGCCTTCTTTTTTTTATTGGGCCTACTTTATACTTTTTTTTTTTGTTAAAGTTTTCGCATTTAGTATTCATCGAGTTTTTCATTTCTTTCTTTTTTTTTTTTGTTCATTGTTATCATTCAAACATGTGGTAAGTTAATTTTCAGGTAGCAAAATGTTGGCAAGATATTCGGGTCACGATCAAATGCATATCGGTGAACATCATCAATTGATACAAAGTAGTGGTGTGATAAATGGTAGTAATGATAGTGGTAGGATGATGGTGATAGTGGAGATAATAATAAATGATAATAATGATAGTAATGATGATGTAATTAATAGTTGTTGATGGATAATTAGCTAGTTTAGAAAAAGGGATAGCATTTGATGATAAATTCATTAAATGCTCACGCTATCATAGGTGTACCGGCTATCAATAGCTCGTTACTCAATGTATCAGGAAATGGTAAATTGGGATATTCTGGTACAAGTGGAATAAATTATGATGAATTATTGAAAAATTATCAAACATCGATATATGAGGTTAGTTTGTTTCATTTTTTATTTCAATCTGACTAAAAAGCTCATTCATTTTTATTTCAATTCAATAGATATTTTTTTTTCTTACTTTTAAACCCTTAAAAATTTGGATAATTCTTAAACACATTTTAAGTTAGAATTTATATCATTTTTCAAGTAATACAGTGAAACGTTAATTTAATTGGAATTTATATTACATTTCAAGTAATATAATGAAATTTTAACTTAATTGGAATTTGTATTACTTTTCAAGTAATACAGTGAAACTTTAATTTAATTGGAATTTATATTACTTTTCAAGTAATATTGTTGGAAATTTTAATTTTTCATTTTTTTTTGAAGATGATATTTTTGCAGATTATTTTTTTCTTTTTCACATTTCACAAGTGAAATTGCTCATTTCATTTAATTTCTCAATCGATGACTTTTTTTTTTCTGCACATTTAATTAACAGCATATGTATCAGCTAAAATTATTAATAACAAAAGAAAAAAATCCGTTTATGAATAATATTTCATCTCCAGAAAACATCAAACTTTTTCATCGATCTACTTTTTTTTTCCAATGATATACTGTAAGTTACGGTGAATTAACTGAATTTTAATTAACATATAATCTCAATATATGATATATGCATTATATTTTATATATTTTACAATTTCAACACTAATTCTTGCATTTCAAAATAATTTATTTTAAAATATATTTGTGATTTTGTAGCTTTGATGAAAAAATTATTGGAGTTCATTTTATCCAACAGTTTTTTATTCCTTCTTTAAATGATATTTTTCAATTTTATGCATACATTTTATGTTTTTCTGCTTTTTGTTTTACAAAAAATAATTACTCATTATTTTTTGCCCGATTATATTCATATTTCAATTATGCTCCAATAATTTCATTTAAATATTATGAAATTCAAAAAAAAAAAACTATCGTAATTTCATGATTTAAATTGAGCTTGTAAAGGAATTTAATTGATATCATATTTATTTGAATGAAACTTATAAATATTCTTAAATATATGACAAAAAAAAAAGCGAATAAAGGACAAGGAATGCAATAGTCATTTTTCTGTTATAATTTGTAACTTTAATTATGTTGTAACCTTTTTTTAGAATTATTATTATTTTAAATTTACTTTTTAAAATTTAAAAAGTTACAAAAAATATATTTAGCAATGGAAAACGCCCAATCAGTATTATATCTTTCATCCACATGCATTACGTCGTGATTTAACAACCACCGAAGAAAAACCGAGTGTTCTCGAGATGGAACATAATTATCTTCTGAAACATCGTGTACCACCATGGACATTAACATCACAAAATTCTCGAACTAGGTAAAATTGTTGTTTGATTGTTTTTTTTCTTAAATTTAAAATTTGAAATGCAATAAATTTTATGCCAACTATTACTACTACTACTACTACTACTACTACTACTACTACTA